AACTCGGCCACAAGCGGCGGCGCCTCGGCGCCCGCGAACTCCGTCTTGGAGGACTTCTTCGACCAACTAGATCTGAACGATGAGGATTTCAATGATGTGGAAATTGATGAGGAGGATCCGGTGATCTAAGAAAGCGTGCGGTGGTTAGCCCTTGCTAGGGTTCATACCGAGAAGAATTTCTCCTCGGCCGCATTCTATAAGGATATGAGAGCGGCCTGGAATCCGGCTCAAAGGGTGAGATTTCGCCCTGTTGGTCCCAATAGATTCGTAGTCCAGGCCTCATGCCTGGGTGATTGGGAGCGGATGATGATGCATGGGCCATGGCTATTTCGAAACATGGCGGTCCTGTTGTGCCCGTATGACGGGTTTACCAAAGCTGATGAGGTAGTCTTCGATCATATGCCTATTTGGTTATAGATTCATAAGCTGCCGGATCCCTATTGCAAGCAGGAGATTGTGGGCAAGCTGTTGAAAGGCGCGGGCAAAATCCTGGAGATGAGATTGAACGGCAACACCCGCGGCGACTACATTAGGGTTAGGGTGGAGCATGACATAAAACTCCCCCTAACCAAGTTTGTGAGCATAGTTCGATCTCAAGCAAAACAAGTTTTTTTGGTTCGCTATGAGAAGTTGGCCAGATTCTGCAAGTTCTGTGGCCTCATTGGACATGAACACAAGGAGTGCGGCTCTGGGGTTCATGATCAGCAGAAGCTCAAGTTCGGTGACTGGCTATACGCCGACGGCCTTAGCCGTTCTCGTCCCGAACCAAACCCTAGCAGGGCGAAGGCCCCGCGGCAGACGGGAGATAATGGCGGCTCCAAAGCTCCGTTGGATCCTCGGATACATGGGACTGATCCGGATCTACTGGATACGGCGACCAGCCCGCCTAAGTTACGTCGTGAACATATGGAGCTGGAACGTGAGGCAAGAAAAAGACTCAACATGGATATTGCTGGGGATGAGGGCATGCACACATCCAACAGGCCCAAAACCCTACTTGCCATCACGGATGGTAAGGGAAAAGATGGAGAGGAGGCTACGTCGCCTTCGAGCAGTACGTCTAGTAGCAAACGCGCCAGACTGTCACAGGAGCTTATTACAAATGAGATATCGGCGGCCTCCCGCGAGGAGGACCGCCGGACGCA